AAGGATGTCGAACTCATAAGGTTGCTATACCGTTGATTACTTAAAAGTTGTGATTTACGTAATCTGATAACTTTTTTTGTGATTCTTTTACAGTGTAGAGATCCGTAATACGACCCCTATATCTGCTGTTCTCAATTTTGCCACAATTGATCATGGTATCGTATATCTAAAGCTCATAAATAATGTAAAAAAGATTCACGTTTCTTTTTTGTAAAAAGTTTTGTTATTGATCAACTTTCTCATCTTTGAACTTTTCACAGCCGAAAAGGCATTCGCTATCTACAATAACAGCAAGTTGGAAACTTATCATAATAAGACTTATTTAAAATTATTAATTAATGATCCTGCTAACGCTTCACACGTGAATGAGCCGTCATCTAATGCGTACATTTTGCAGGTTAAGCAGCTGGATATAAAATCAACAACCAACTTCACATTATATGACGAATTTAGAAAGTTTGGTCCTTTGTTCTCTTGCAGGTTGCAATATCAAGATAATAAGTTTAGAGGATATGCACTTGTTCAATTTTTCAAACAAAGTGACGCCGAGAAAGCCGCAGAGACTATGGTAAATACTCTCACATATACGTATATATAACACATATATTTATTTCTTCATTTCTTTATAAGTATCGTTTTTGGCCTATCAAAATCATAGGTTCTTAAAACTAATAATGCATTTTATAACATTCAAACTAGCACTATACAATGTTAGGGGGCAGAAATATGTAAGTCCAATATTTAATGATAAAAAAAAAAATTTTTTTTTTTGATACATCTAAAGCTTATAATGATGTACCTTTTTTTTTTTTTATGCCTTATAGCCAAGTTCAATTTCATACCAAGAGCAATAACAACAATAATAATGTGCCTAAAATTCGCACAAATGTTACTAATCACGGTAACAACAACCCTCCTGGCTCTGTAAGGATACAAAATCCACTTGCAAATATCAATTCAATTTATAAATTATTTGATCATTAACAAATGAGATTTATTTATTTATATTAGGGACACATATATTCACCTCAAGGATCTAGTAACAACAATAACAATAATTATAATCATAACCAAGCAGCTCCAGCGTCACCTAGTCCTGAAGCTCCGCTCGTAGATCCATGTAATTTATTTATTAAAAATCTTGATGCCAATATTTCCAGTAGCGATTTATTCAATCATTTTAGAAAATTTGGTCGTATTATCAGCGCACGTGTCATGAGAGACCAGGAGACTGGAAACTCAAAAGGCTTTGGTTTTGTTAGTTATACTACTGCTGAAGAAGCTGATAAAGCGAAGAGTTCCATGCACGGCAAGACCCTTGGAACCAAGCAGATTGTTGTTAGGCTACATGAACCAAAGAAGTTGCGTGAGGCAAAATTGGCTAATCATTTCAATGGCAGTCCTGCTTCTCCATCTGAGAGTCGCGCACCTTCCAGACGTAATTCAGACTTTTACAATATTAATACTATTAACGAATTTGGTCAGGAAGATCTTAGCGGGTTGGCTCCAAAGGCCCGCAGAGAGGTTTTAATGTCTGAATTACAAAAAAGATTCAAATCCATCCCCAGTGTTCCATCCGAAGAAGTTAATCCGATTATTGATCATTTGTTAAATTTGAAGGTTACCGATGTTCTTCTAATCCTTAAAGATGCTCCGCTGTTGCAACAAAAGGTTAAATCATTATTGTAGATTAATCCTTTATTTTTGTAATTCATTATTAAAAACATGTATAAACCTGTATTTCTTTAGATTGCTGAAGCCAGAACTTTCCTTCACGAGAGGAAACGTCGTGGTGTTAATGAGGGAACAAGTCTCAATCTTGCACCGACTTCAATCAACAGTAATATTAGTAGTAGTAATGGCAACAATAATAATAACATTGTTATGAATAATAATAATGTCACACAAATTCCACAAAGGGAAAAATTCCTTAATGTCATTAAAAATGTTTGTCCTCGTAACTCTGCGGAAATTCTTGACCTACTCATGACCTTAAGCGCAAAGGAAAGGACGCTCTGCTACTTCAATGCCGAGTATCTTCACAATAGAATCGTTGAAGCCAATTCAGCACTGGAAGCTGTCCTTAACGACGATACTGGCACGACATTTTCTACTCCTAAGCCTTTGATTTCTGCCGATATCACTCCAGTTTCTACACCTCCAACATATAAATCTATGGAACCTATGGTTCCTCATTCTGTAAGATCACCTAATATATCAGAAATTCCTGCTTCCATTAGTAACGGAATTCATACTCCTGAATATAAGGAAATCGAAGATTTTATGGATAACCTTAGGAACAAACCAATTCATGAACAAAAACAAAAGCTTGGCGATAGATTATTCCCCAAAGTCAAGGTAAATTTTTTTGTTTTACTGTTAAATATGCAATTCCGAACGTTATTAAATGAAAATTTTTTTTTTATGTTTTTAACAGAGTATTGGGCTTAAGAGTGCTACGGCTAGTAAGGTCACCATCAACCTTCTGGACACTGATAATTTACGCGAATTGGCTCATTCTATGAACGATCCGGAAAAATTCAGAG